TTTCCCTTGCAGGATGTCTGGGGAGTGTCAGAACGCTGTGAGCATCTGTAAGTAGCGTTCCTTGCTCTGGAAGGAGCATGGCGGGCTGTGGGTTGTGCTCGAGGACTGCATGTCTGCATTGGAAGTAATCCCACCCCTTCTGTTTGTCTCTGCAGCTGTGGTGGGCGGCAGCAGCACCGTGGGAGGCGGACTCGGCGGCGGGCTGTGCCTTGGAGGAGGAAGAGGTGGAGGAATTGGATTTGGAAGTGGGAGAGGCAGCTGTAACTTAGGCAGTGGTGGCTTCTGCTCCAGCGGAGGGTACAGTTTAGGAGGGGGGAGCTTTGGCTCTGGGGGGGGCTTTGGCTCAGGGGCAGGAATCTGCTCTGTGGTTGGAGGAGCTGGCTCAGGAGTAGGATCTAGCACCGTCCTAAAAACTACTACCTCTGTGCCAACGAGCTCTGTGAGTCGGAGGGCCTAGGAAAGGGAGCTATCTCATCCCTCCCTGGTACCCAAAGGAGAAAGAAGCCAACTGGCATGGAGACCATTGCTACCCATCCATCACCAAGGTGATGACCAGCTACTTCAGTTCAAACCAGACACCATCATCCTTTAGAAACTGCACAGAAAAGTAAAATGAGGCAACTTCTCAGCTAATGACTGAGATTCTCAACAGTGTTTGGGCTTTTATTTGCCCCCTTCCCCAATGGCTTCCTACTTTGAATGCTCCTCTTGAGGCACTACAAAAAATGTTGATTTATCAGTGTTGAGCAGTCATCTGAAAAACAGGACCTGCCTGTGCACTGGAAAGCCCCAAACACAACAGGAATAATGGTCCAAAGCACTGTGGGCCAAATGAGGGACATTCTACCAGGGACAGGTAGACAGGACCAGTCCATGTGCTGCTGTCAAGAAAACTTCAAAGAACTCCTGTTCTATAAAGTCTACACAACAGCTTGACTTCTTTGAACATCTTGTGCTGGATCCAGATGTGGTGCAATTGTAATCGGCTAAACATCAGCCAAGGCTCTGACTCCAAAACAAGAACTTCCTAATGACTAGTCCCAGCTGAAAAGATGACTTACCCCATTGCAATTTTGTCCAAACAAGATAATGGCAGTTTCACTAACTTTCTTTAGAAGCAGTTGTAAAATGTTCAGTTTTGTTCTGGGTTTACTTTTTCATTGTGATCATGGGAATACTTGTGCTTGTTTGCTTAAGTCTTTCTCCTTTGGCAGAAGGCATATCCTATTAAACACTAGAGGCAGCAAGTTCGTGTGGTTTTTCTTTCTGACCGAATGGTTTCATGTTGTAACAAGACTCCTCTTTTGCTGAGATCTGAAAGTGTTACCTGACTTTCCCTTGCCCTTTGAAGCTTGTGTTTAAAGGAACCAAAGCTAATCTGTAGCCTGTTTTTCTGCACTTTTGAGAAATCTCACCCCTTTTTTGCACCCTAACTCTTGAGCATGTTGCAGTCTGCCACTTTGGTAGAAGGGCGGAGGTCTTGTAGAGCTGAAGTGGTTGGGCTGATAAAATTGCTGGGTTAGGCTCAGTATTGCGGTTTGATCGGGTTGAGTCTGTGAAATGCAAGGTTTTCTTGAATTGCATCTATGGGAACCAGCTCATTTCTGGTGGGGTGGCAGGAAAGAACGAGACAGCTGGTTTGATCCTACTCTGGGTCAAGCCAACAGCTTAATCATTCTTGCCCTCCTCTTCTTGGGCATGTACAGGCGTTTGGCCCCCTTAAGGGAGCAGAACAAGCTGTTTTAGACTTATAGCTACCAGCCAGCTGATGTTCGAGCTTGTCCCCTTTCCCTTTCTCCTCCTAAGCTTTTTCCTTGCTCATGTTGGCTAGCTTGGGATGGTCACAAGCCAATCCACCTCTGACTCCCTAACCACTGCCTCTAAACACTCCATCAAGGACAGTGCGCAGCCTCCACATGTGATTGCCTGTCCTCTAATACTTCTGTCCCAATGGCAAGGGTCTCACCCCCCTAGCTGGTGCTGTCATAAGTGCACAGTACTAAGTGGTGCAGAAGAAGGAAGGGTGATTATCATTCCTCCAGGAAATTCAGAGTGATCTCTGACATTCTTCAATGTCCATGATGTTGGAGCCCACCCTGCAGTTTTTACTCTGCTGCTTTGCTCTTATCTCGGCATGCTGCTCGGTCCCCCCGGGTGAGCGGAGGCAGAATCCACAGTTTCCAAGGGATTGCTGAAAGCTGCTAGGGCCCTGACAAAACAGGTGATTTGTCCCAGGCCATGATTGAGAGCAACAGTTCTGCTCTTGTGTTATTTCTGTCAGGCTTTGGTGCCTGGCTCTGTTCTGTCTCTGACAGTTTCCCCTCGTCTGGTGGGTAGTCGACCTCAGGGATCTACGGGTTGCTTTTAAGGGATCTGCAAAAGGTAGCAGAGAACAACAAGCTCCTGGCCCTCTGCAAGGCCCTATCTCTCTGCAGAGTTTAGAACATTTTTGATGATCTGTAAACGTCAGTATTGAAAACTGGGTCGGGTTTGACACCTTTCTCAGGAGACTCATCATCTTAAATAATGTCCCTGGTCAACTGCAGACTTGCTCTGTGATCTGGATGAGTCATTTACCCTGTGCTTGGTTCCCTGTTTGTAAAGGTTCAAGAAATAAATCTACTAGTGATTGTGGAATGTCTCAACTTTGCCAGTTGAAGGCATGTAACTACTTGGATGGGGATACTGTTTGGGCAAGGGTAAATATTCTAGTAAGTTGTAAAGTTACCTGAGATGGTGTCGAATGAGCAGACATCTGCTTCCCTTAGAGTTAACCAAAACTAGCTGCCTCTGTGTAAACTTGCCTCCAGCAAATGACTGACATAAGGGCAACACCAAGAAGAAACAAAAGGCTTTGAGATGCGTACAAATGCTTTAGTAAAAACAGACAACAAAAAGCTCTTTCTTTTGTTCTTATGATTGCCACAACAATTAGGTGAAAACTCTCTTGGGTTGGACTGAGACAGGGCATAGCTGTTTCTGCCTTTTGTTGGAGGAGTGAAACGTTATACTTGACCTGAAATAAATTTTGGTTAACTTCTTCATGACTTCTTTCCATTTTCAATGTCTCTAGTCTAAAGCGTACTTGCACAGTGAAAACTCTTAGAAAACGTGAAGCGTACATGATTGAAAACATCAAAATCGAATGCTTTGGTGTTTTTTTTTTCTTCCAGAAGTTTTCCCATCTCTGGTTGAAGACATTAGCTCAGTTCAGTGCGTATGGACTGACAGCCTGTTGCTGAACTGAGCTCTTTTCTCCAAGTGCGCAAGGGTTGAGTAGCTTTTCCTGTACTCCTGCCCATATGTTTTCCTTCGTGAGGCTTTGAGTACAATAGCGATGTTTGAGATCACTGGTGTTTAAGCTGTCTATTGCGTTTAAGCTGGATGATGATGTTGACATTCAAATCCCTGTTTGATTTCCTAAACTTGGCTGGAGATATGGCAGTGACTCAATGAGCATGTTATCTAAACACACGCACTTGGGACTTGGGCATTGTGCTGACTTAACGAATCTTCTCCTGTCAAGCGCGGCTGGGAATGTGAAACTTTGTGATCATGTCGTGCTGCCTACAGACAAAAAAATGTAACCGTGTGTTTGGTAATACAAAGGGAGGCAAGGGAAGAAATAAATCACTTGTTAAACGTGTGTGCGTCTGTGCGTGCGCATATATGTAATTATATCTCTAATAGCTATAAACCCACAGCACCCTCCTGAACCTTGCGGTACGGCAGGGAGTGATGGAATGCATTGGACTGATTAATCAGAAGCGGAACGTCTTCGCAGCTCAGATCGGCGGCGACTGTGCTGCTCGTTTGCTATTTGCCTCTCCTGTAGACGGGAAGGACTCCCCTTTCCTGTTGTAGAGATGGCTGTTGCGTGGTGGCCTAATGTTTGTCAGGTCTTTCGGATAATGTTTGCAGTGATGCTTGAGGCAATATTTCAAAACCACCCAAGCAAGTTAGGCGTTTGTCCCAACTGAGGCATCTAAGAGACACAGTCTGGCTGAAGACCGACAAGCCATATGGGACTTCCTCAGGCCACAGGTTTAATGTATATCTAAACTATGCTGTACAGCTACCGAAACCCCAGTTCTCCCCACCTCCTTTGTCTCACTGTGACTGTGCTATTATACATATATTTTTAGCTGGATTTATTTCCCGATCCGCTTCCCCACATGTTTATGAATACCATGTCAGTGCTGTGCAGCCAGGCGGAGGTGAGCAGCCTGTGGAGGGACGGTCGTGTTTTTCAATGGTGTTGCCAGTTTAACTGCACGTTAAGCTGTGGCCTGAGTGCCCAAGGCACTTTTGAAAGCAGGTATCTGGGCAATATTTTTAGAGATATTTAAACATCTAAAGGCACCAAGAGTTGCTAGTGTGAATTTTCAAGATGCGTTTAATTGCCTGTGTCCTATGGGAACTTTTGAAAAGCTTGTTAGACAGCTGTCAGCACAGTTAGATGCCCAAATAACCAAAAAGTTTTTTGGGCTTCAAAATTGCTTAGTTGGCTTTCACAATGCTGCTTGATCTCTCTGCCATTTAGACGTTGTTGAAAACTAAGAAAAAAAATGTTTGTCAGTAAAAATGTAAAAAATGAGAAAGTGAATGTTATTTGTTAACCAGGCTTTCGCAAAACAAAAGGGCAAATGGATGATGTTTCATAGTGTTATTGTTGCAAACCTACCTCATAAACTATTTCTTTACTATTATGGCATCAAAACTGGAGCATCTGAATAAGCCAAAAAAGGCTATCTATCCATTTTCTTGAAGGGGGCTCAAACAGCTTGCAAGTATATCTGTCTGCCAATAACACATTTGCATATCAATGCCAGGTAAGCTTGACACCCAAAACACATGCTTTTCCTTGAGTGAACATTATTGTGAGACCTTGTTCTCTCCATTTTTATATGCCTCTGCAAATGAGCTTAGCTCTCTAGCATCATCTACCTAACTAATTGCATTTAAATAGTTGCAATATTTATTATGTGGTCAGTATAATTTTTCCTCTTTCCTTCTCTCTGTCTTATCTCAGAACTGTCTGTTTGTTCATGCTTCCCAGCACAGCAGCTGAGTGCCTGCTGTGTTCTCTGACTTTTCTCATGGTCAGTTATTTCTTGAAGCCTTCAGAAAATCCTAAAGGAATTTGCAATATGTGATGTTTGTGGCGTTTCTCTGCTGGTACAGAGAACATCTCAGCATCCAGACTCCAGGAAGCTCCAGGACTCTTAAGCACCAACCATTGCCACGGGAACAGGTGAAACATCTTTCTGGTGAAGTTTTATTTATCAAAAAGATGCAGAGCCTCATCAAAATGCAATTTGCTGAGCCCTGGTTCTAGATTGAGAAACCGCTTCTCAAAGCCAAAGGCAATTTTCCGTGTAAAAAGAAGACTTAGGGTGTAGCATAGGTGTGTTTTGGGAATTGTGAAAGCCATGCTACAATTTGGCATGAACTGAAGTGCTTGCCTGCCATGGGGCTTTGGAGTGAAAGATCAAAATAATGATAAACATAAGCAGGGAAACAAACCACAACGGATGAAAGGTTAAAAAAAGACCAATATATCATAGACAGACTGTTAATATGCCACAAAAATATAAGACTACCGTTTGGTAGATACTGTTGGATCTTTTAAAAATTCTCTTCTGCATTACAGGGTGTGTTTCTGGGTAGGGTCAATGTTTGGCAAATTGAAGATGAAAATCTGTAAACCACGCCATGCTGATGAAGACAATAACTGTCTCCGCCTTCACGCCCATGCACACCCTGCCTGCTTCCAGAAACAGATAAAAGGGAGCATCTACTGCCCTCGAGTCAGAGGGACTCACTTCCACTCTCTCTCTACTCACTACCTGTATCTCAACTACGTTGATCTTCTCTTTTTGGTTTTTGGCTCTGCTTAGAAGAAACAGCCATGTCTCGGCAGTCTGTCTGTAGAAGCTTTGGAGGCGGGAGTAGAAGGGGGTACAGCTCTTGCTCTGCCATCGGTGGTGGCTTTGGAGGAGGTGGCAGCAGAAGCAGGACCAGCTACAGTTCATACTCCACGTCCAGGGGATTTGGAGGTGGTGGACGTAGTGGAGGGTTTAGCAGCAGGAGCCTCCACAACATAGGCAGCAGCGGAAGGATTGCCATGGGTGGATGTTATGGCGGTGGAGGATACGGAAGCAGAATTGGCTTTGGTGGTGGCTTTGGTGGTGGCTTTGGTGGAGGATTGGGTGGCTTTGGTGGAGGAATGGGTGATTTTGGTGGAGGAATGGGTGGCTTTGGTGGCTCTGGCTTTGGTGGCTCTGGCTTTGGTGGCTCTGGCTTTGGTGGACCTGGCTTTGGTGGCTCTGGCTTTGGTGGACCAGGTTTTGGTGGCCCTGGCAGAAGTGGCCCTGGAATCCAGCCAGTGCAGGTTGACCCAAGCCTCCTTCAGCCAGTCCGTGTCGAGATTGACCCCCAGATCCAGCAAGTGAAAAACCAGGAGAAGGAACAGATCAAGACTCTTAACAATCAGTTTGCCTCTTTCATTGACAAGGTGAGAAGGTGGGATTATTGTGCCTAATTAAGGGTCCAAACTTAGAAGAACTTTCATATGCTGCAGAAATTTTGTCCTTTTCAGCTAAATATCAGTAGGTCAGGAAGCTTGAGAATAATTTTTTATTTAGTACTGCCAGGGAAAAGATGAGAATCACTCTTCTACATGACATCAAAGCTATATCTTCAGGGCTTTATTCTAGACTGTTGCACTAGACTCAGTTAATAAATTATTCTTGCAAGCAGGTTAAACGCCTCTGTATACCTTCAGATTTTGTGGACAAACTTGCACTTCTGTCTTATTCTCTTTCCAAATACCTTCCTCCTTTATGTTAAGTATTCACTAGTATAATGTTGTTCTATTTGTTTAAATCTTTTAAAAAATTTAAGTGGAGTAGAAATCTAAGATTTTTACACTGTCCGCTTTGGAAACGTATTTGGAGTTGGTGTCACATTTAAAAGCTCCTTTGACTTGAATTTGTCCTAGAAATTCCCTCCTTTTCCTGATTTTGCAATTAAACTCAACAATAGAAAACATTATCAGAATGTTAACTGGCTCTCACGTCATCGTGCAAAGGAGAATCAGCACCCTTTTAATGTGTTGAATTGGCTGCTGCTGCTGCTGCTGCTGCTGCTGTTCTGCGTGTGATGGTGAATACTCCATGTGTTGGGTTTCAGGTTCGCTTCCTGGAGCAACAGAACAAGGTTCTCTCCACCAAGTGGGAGCTCCTGCAACAGCAAGGGCCTACTGGGCCAAGGAAGAACCTCGATGTCCTCTTCGAAAATTACATCCAGAACCTGAGGAGGCAGCTGGACTCAATCTTGGCCCAGAGGGGACAACTGGAATCAGAACTGCAGAGCATGCAGCAATATGTTGAGGATTACAAAACCAAGTAAGTCAGAGTAACACAGAAAGGAACTCAAGCAGCCTTTATCTGGCAGGTCATTTTTCTTCACACAATTTTATAGCAATTATGGACATCACTCTTTCAGTCCAAATATTTTTTCTTCATTTGGGTTTAATGTGGCCTTAGGTAGGAAAGTTCAGGAAACTCAGCTGGTATTTTTACTCTCCACAGGTATGAGGAAGAGATCAACAGGCGTACAAGCGCGGAGAATGAGTTTGTGGTGCTCAAGAAGGTGAGTCACACACACTACAAAATTAGCTCCTGAATATCAGGCTTTATCTGTGCTTCCAGGGGATTCCCTTTGAAAGGGAAGTCCACGTGAGATTGTAGGACTGGCGAGCTAACACTGCAGCGCTTTTTCTTTGTGCAGCTGAATGGCACTATGCCATAGCTGTTACCCTCAGCACAGACCACAGTTTTTGTTGTCCTGAAGGATTTCCAAAAGGAGATGAAACTATTCTTTCATCTTTCCTTTAGGATGAGTTGGAAGCAAAGGTGGGAGCTCTGACCGATGAAATCAACTTCCTGAGGTGCATCTACGAGGAGGTAAGGAGCTCTGTCTCCCCCTTGGATGGCTGGAGTTCTAATGAGGCATGTTCTGAGTAGAGGCACTGAGGTTTGCCTAGGTGCCCACATGGACGTAGCCTGGAGAGTCACTTGGGCTCCCTGGAACTGCTGCTCTCCTCTCACCTCCTCAGAAGGTCAGGTTAATTCCCGTCTTGGTTGCAGGAGCTCTCTCAGATGCAGACAATCAGCCGGGACTTGTCCGTGGTGGTGTCTATGGATAACAGCCGGCACCTGGATCTGGACAGCATCATTGAGGAAGTCAGACGCCAGTACGAACAGATTGCTCAGAACAGCAGGGCTGAGGCTGAGGCTTGGTACCAGAGCCAGGTGAGTTCTGAAGCAGTCAAGGAAGCCTGGCTGATGGCTAGAGTTTGCAGATGCTTTAGGATAAAATGAGAGATCTCAGAGGGAATCTTTCTAAGCTAGTGGTATAGGCATCCATGCAAGGAAGTCTTAAAAGTAAGTGTATTGCTTTGAAAAGAGCTGACTGACTTTTCAAGGAGTCCAGGATTTTGCTTCGTACAAGGTTTAATCCTCAATAAAGATGGCCAAAGAATTACCTTAGCTGGAAAATGCCATCCCAAAATAACTTTTCTGAAACCAAAGGATCCACATTGGTGTAGCTAAGATCTATCTCAGAGTTCAAATATATAGCAAAAAGCAATATTTGAGTCTCAGAACCATTTTTTGAACCATTGACCTGGGCATCAACATCATACTGACCACTGCTGTCACACGTGCTGCTAGTAGCATGTGAGCAGTGAAACTGTTGACAAATCTTGTCTAGGCACTAGGAATATTTCACTGAAGTTGTGCTTTGTCTTGATGCCACCAGTATGAACAGCTGCAGAGCACTGCTGGAAGGCATGGGGACAGCCTCCGCAACACCAAGATAGAGATCCAAGAGCTGACCAGGAACATCCAGAGGCTGCGGGCTGAAATTGAGAATGTGAAGAAGCAGGTAGGAGGAGCTTGTTAGTGCCTCACTGGTTACTGGCATGAGGCTGAGCCACAAATACTGATGTGTGGGGCAGAAAAATCTTCTTGAATTATCCAGTTTACTTCAAAAATTTTTTCTTGGTTCTTCCACTTGGGGCTTTCATAGGTGATCACAGCTGACAAAATGAGAAACTGAGAAACTGTCTTTCTTCTTTTGCAGAACCAGCAGCTGCAGGCAGCTATTGCTGAGGCAGAGGAGCGTGGTGAGATGGCTCTCAAGGATGCCAGGATCAAATTGGAAGAGCTGGAATCTGCCCTGCAGAAAGACAAGGAGGAGCTGGCTCGCTTGTTGAAGGAATACCAGGAGCTGCTCAACATCAAGATTGCATTGGATGTTGAGATTGCCATGTACAGGAAGCTACTGGAGGGAGAGGAGTGCAGGTGCCCTTCTTTCTTTGCATTTTCTTGATGGAGCCTTAAGTGATTATACTATCTTTCTGCAAGTAAAATTTGGCATATAATTCTGAGGGTTTATTCCTCGTCCCTCATGATCTGGTTCTTTGCCCTCACTATAAAGGTTGGCCCACCTCTGTTACAAAAATGTGAAGTTCAGTGTTGCTAAATGGGTCGAAAAACTTGTGGGAAATTCAGAAAGAATAGAGAAAGTCTACTTAGTGAAGAAAGGTGGCATTCTTAGCTGAAGAAGCCTGCACTTTCTTGGTGATTGACCTCTATTATTTCCCCTTGCAGGCTGAGCGGAGGCATGTCCAATGTGAATGTCTGTAAGTATCCACCTTCGTTCAATCGCGAGGTAGTTGTGAGCTGTGTCACCTAGGATTCCTATTGTGCTGTTGTACAACATGTAACCTGTGCTTCTCTTCCAGCTGTGGTAGGCAGGACCACCATCTCTGGAGGCAGAGGAGGCGGCATAGGAGGTGGCTTTGGAGGAGGCGGCTTCGGAGGCGGAAGTGGCATGGGAGGCAGCTTTGGAGGTGGAAGTGGCATAGGAGGAGGCTTCGGAGGAGGCAGCAGCATCGGAGGTGGCTTTGGAGGAGGCAGCATCGGAGGAGGTGTATGTGGAATAGGAGGAGGCTACGGAGGCGGAAGCATCGTAGGCAGCAGTGGAATAGGAGGAGGAACGTACAGTGGTGGCTTCTCTTCTGGAAGTGGAAGAATGTGCAGCTCTGGAGGAGGTGGCAACTTTGGCTCCAGTGGGGGATCCTCCTCTGTACGGAGATGTGTCACAACCACCTCTGTCAAATCTTCAGGAGTAAGATTCTGAGCCCTGAAGTCACTTCAGAAAACAAAAGAAGCATCTCCTATCTTCTCCTGGCAGCAGCACAGCCTCCTTAAGTCCACCTCTGGTATCCCGCCATGAAACAAACTGTGTCCCCCATGGCCCACCACGCACCAGCTTGTCTTCCTGGCTTCTTCCCAGAAAGGCAGTCTCGTGGCAAGGCCATGCCCCCTTGACGGTCCTGGCAAGCTGCTGGCTAGCCCCAAGCCCAGTGACGAAATAAGTCCAAGCAAAGAAAAGTCTCACTTGCGGATACCCAGTACGGAGAGCTGATTTAAAGGAGGGAAACGCTCTGCCTTTCTTGCTGTGTTGTACATTTCTGGCTGCCTAGTGGCAAACGTGTATAAAACTCCTCTTTGCTCCTTCTCCCTCATGTCGCTTCCTAGACGGCCATATCTCTGGGGTGCTTCAGCCTGTAGTAGTACATCCTGCTTCTTCCATTCGCTAGCCTTACGGGCCATGGCAGGTGTGGGGAAAGTGGGTCTCCTTCCTCGGCAGAGCTGAGGAGCGAGCAACTTCTCTGCAGGTGGCCACAGGGATTAACTGCCCTGTGGTTTACTCACCTGGCCGCCCCAGGTGTGCGCTAACCAGGAGCTTGCTCTAGAGTAGTGCCTGCCACTTCCACCTGTCCTGGCTCTGTGACACCTGCCAACACCTGATGCATGCATGGCCTTGCTCTAGCCTGCTCTTTCTCAAGCATGCTCTTCAGTCTTAGGCTCTCTGTGACATGGAACTGGATGTACTGTCCCCACCTCCCTTCCTCTTCTGTTCATGGTATGTCCTACTTCCTCGGGATGTTGCCATTCTCAATAAATTGCAGAGAACATACGTGATGCCTGTGTGTCCTTGATCTAAAAGTCACTTCTACGCAAGCTGACTTTGCCTTGGGGAAGCCACGGGAGGGCAAACTCTGGGCTGGTCTTCTGTTCAACACTGTCACGTTATGATGGTGTTATGAGGGAACTGAAAGGGCGCGTGGAGGGAGCTGGGCAAGTGTGCAGGCTTTGGTGGTGCCTCTTGACTCCTGTCAGCCAGATTAGTGCCCAAATGCAGAAAACTCTGGGCTTTGTGCAGGAAAAAGGACTTTGTGCAGGACTGTGACTGTCAGTGTGTCACGGCTACACCAGTGGAGACCCAAAGATGCTGATGATGGAAATCGGCAGGGCTAGGGAGGGAGCGGGCGACAGATCAGCCTGCTCTTGTTAGTTCATCTGAGCTTCCTGCATCAGCGCAGACTCTGCTTGGTGTCAGGAGAAGGTGGCAGCGGCAGAGGTCTCGTGGGCAGTGGGGAGAGGGCACCTGTCCTGCAGCTGCCTCTAAGTGTTGGTGTGGATGGAGGCCAAGCAGCTTTCCGCAGGTGCACAGGAAGGCTTTGGCCAGGCAGGCTGCAAAGCCCAGCACTCTGCGAGCTCCAGGAGCGCTTGAGGAGCACTGACTCCTCCTCCCCTGCATTGACTGGCAGTGGGAACGTGAGGCACTGAGAGGGGACGAGTCGTCTCCGCATCCCCACTCAGGTACCCATCCGCTCTCTGAAAAGTCAACTAAGTCGCCAAGAGGTTTTCCTCTACGTTGAGAGCAAGTGAGAGAGAGTTTTGGTCTGGCTCTGGCTCTGGCTCTGGGGCGGGACTAGGAGTGGGACGTGAGTGGAGCGCTGATGTGTTTGATCTGTGCTGTGCCTCAGGTCTTCCACCACAAGACGAGATCAAAGAGACACAAACCACTTTCAGCAGTGGTTCAGGACTCCCACAACAACCTGCGCTGAGGTGCCAGTGTCCCCGTAACAGGTCGGGAAGCTGTGGACTTAGGAAGAGGTCCAGGCAAGGCTGCAGGCACTTGCAATGGGGAATGGTGCCGGGGCTCTTGGAAGAGGGCCTTCTACTCACTCCTAAGGGCAGTAGAGCAGTGCCAGTGCTGGGAAGCATGGCGGTGCTTGGCCAGAACAGGCGAGGATGAGAAGGCAGTGCCTTTCAGAAGAGGGCGTTGTGCCAGAGCGCTTTGGGATTTGGCTTGCGGACGAGTCAACTGCTTTGGCTCTTAAAAGAAACGTAGGCTAAAGTTTAGCCTTCGAATCTGAAACACACTCTTGTGGGATTGCTGTGAGGACCCATTGTGGTGTCCTCATCTACGCTTCTTGCCAGATTTGCTTTGCCGTGCGTGACCTGAAGTTGCAGCCTGGCTTGGTCTGCTAATGCTGCTTTCTCTGCAGGGTTTCTTTTGCCTAATGTTGAGGCTTTTGCTGTGCACAGCTCCTTGCATAGGAGATCTGAAGGGATGGCTGGAGCACAGGCTGTCTAGCAAGTTTTACCTGGAGGAGGCTGATGTGAGTCTAGGTCTGGAATAATCTTCAAATCTTGTCTGAAGACGTCAGGCTGACTCAATCTGGGCATTTTATCTGTGCGGTAGTGAGTTGGTCAGCATCTAGGTATTTGGCTGACTCAACAAATCTTCCCGCTGGTCGTGGCGCTGCCATGTGGGATGTTATGAGTGAGTTTATGGAGAAAGCCGGCACCGTGTGTTTGGCAATCTGGAGGGAGGCCAAGAGAAGAGGCAGCCTGGTTTTTCCCCTGAGGACTCTGAGCTACCCTCCCAGGGACTGCACGTTTGCAGGGGGTGCCCTGGACTGCAGAATGAACTGGAGCACTTAAGCGTCTGTGCTGGCGACAACCACCATCCAATTAGACCCTCTTAATTTAAGATGCTTTTGAAAGGGAAGGAGTGCCCTTCCTGCTGTAGGGCTGGCTGCTCATTCCCCGGCTGCAGCCTGCCACAGAGGGCATGCCACACACATCTGGATTACCCTCAGCTAAACATTACTCGAGTCCCTCAAGGGTACCAAAGGCTACAGCTTTCCTGTGAAGTGACTGTGGCTTCTAGTCGCCTCTGTCTCACTGCCGATCAGTGGCATTTATGTTCCCGATTGCCCTAATGGCTTTTGCAAATGATTCTCTGGGCTAGGTTTTTCCAAGACTTTAAAGCATCTGTTGCCAAAAACTGATCCCCTGTGATGTTTTCAAAGAACCTTTACTTGTCTTATGGGTCTTTCTGAAGACCTAAGGAACAGGTATATTCAACCTTGGAAACTTAAATACAGTATAATATTTCAGACTTCTGAAGTGATTAAATGACTGTAAAATATATTTGCTTTGACACATTGATTATTTTTAATAGCTAATCTCAAGGAAAAAAGATTTTTTTTCTAAAAGTTCATGTATATATCTAAAATTTATATCTGTCTATTAAGACCCGTGAGATATCTACAAGTTTTCTTACAAGTGAACCTCCTACTTCATTGCTAGGTAGCTCGCGCATGATATTGAACATTATTTTTCAGTAGTTTGGAGCAGAAACTGGTGTCCTGAAATCACATTTTTTTCTACAGTGAATTTAGTCTGGAAGCCGCCCTCCCCACCTACCTGCAAGTAATTTTACTGTAGTCTAAGGTGTCCTTGCCATACATCTAAAATGAACTTGATATACAGCAACGTTCTTAACTGTAACTACTTAAGAGAGCCTCAGAGCTTCTTCCTCCTTTTATATCCCCCTTTTGGAAATGATACAATATGAAAGACCCAGCCACATTATTTATTTACCAACTTAATTAAAAAAAGTTATCTTAAGAAGTCATTGATATCTCTGCCTATATTTCTCTGCTATTTGTTTGTCTCCCGTCATCATTACCACCACATCAAGTGCTTGAAATGTCATTGCATTCCTCTGCAGGCTCGGCGTTCCCTATATCCATTTGAAAAGCACAAGGAAGGAGCTTGGCCATCTGCGTTCTCCTGTTCATTGCACTCCCAAAGTGTTCACAGTCTTGATACTTGGTTACTGCAGACTCTAGGAGACACATTCTACAAGAATTTGCTCTAGAAGGAGAAGGCACTCCCATCCCAAGCGATGGTAAGCAGAGGAGCTAAGCACCTCCTTCCTGGTTAAAAAAGAAATGCTGACCCTTGTTAAATGTTAATGTGTGGCATTCTTGCTTTACATTGGGAAACTGCTTCCTGGAAAGCAATCAGCAGTTTTCCACATAAAAAAGAGATTTGGGGTGTGTTTGGGGGAATTGTGAAAGTCTCGTTCTAGTTGATTTTGACCAAAAGGCTTGCCTGACATTGTGCTTCGGTGCAAAAGATCCAGATCCAGATAAACGGAGAAATCATTAAGAATGGATGGAAAGGTGGGAGGAGGGATGAACATGACTACATCACTGTAAAAGATGTATTTCCAGATGCCATAGAGATATGAGAGTCCACTTACTCATTGAGACCTGTTTCACTGTTCTTGCTCTTTTATTCTTTTCTATGTTGCAAAGTGTAATTCTGGGTGGAGTCAACATTTGGCAAAAATCTGTTAACCACACAAAGCTAATGAAGACAATAAATTTGTTTCCTCTTCACGCCCATGTAGACCCAGCCCATCTCCTGAAACGGATAAAAGGGAATGCCTGAAGCTGTGGAGTCAGAGAAGACTGTGCACACTTCTCTCTGCACTCATCCCTCTGCAGCAAGCTCTGTTGATCTTTCTTCTCTCCGCGACTCTACTTAGAAGAAACAGCCATGTCTCGGCAGTCAATCTGTAGAAGCTTTGGAGGCGGGAGCAAAAGGGGATACAGCTCTTGCTCTGCCATCGGTGGTGGCTTTGGAGGAAGCGGGGGCAGAAGCAGGATCAGCTATAGTTCGTTCTCCACATCCAGGGGAACTGGAGGCGGCGGACATTGTGGAGGTTTTAGCAGCAGGAGCCTTCATAACATGGGTGGAAGTGGAAGGATTTCCCTGGGTGGCTCTTATGGCGGTGGATATGGATGTAGAATTGGTGGCTTTGGTGGAAGCTATGGAGGAGGAATTTGCAGCTTTGGAGGAGGTGTCATTGGTGGAGGAATAGGCAGCTTTGGTGGCTCTGTGAGAGGTGGCCCTGGGTTCCCTGGGGGCATTCACCCGGTGCAGGTTGACCCAAGCCTCCTTCGGCCAGTCCATGTCGAGATTGACCCCCAGATCCAGCAAGTGAAGTGCCAGGAGAAGGAACAGATCAAGACTCTTAACAATCAGTTTGCCTCTTTCATTGACAAGGTGAGAGGATGGAACTGTACTTGTTTGGGAATGGGGACTCTCAGAAACTTTCTTGTGCTGTGGAGAGGGACATATTGTCCTTCTCAGCTCAGTGTTGGCAGGTCTGGAAGGCTGGCAGTGATCTCATTGAGTTCTCCTAAGGAAATGTGAAAATTTTACATCCACAGGAAAATCAAAGGACTTTCTCTAGAATCGTCTGGTCCAAATGCTTCCTTAGCTTTTATTTCTAGTGTTCTCTGCAAAGTCAGGCTGAAGTGATCACAGCAGACTCAACTATCCTAAGTAGTTCTTTCTAGTCTGTCATTTTTCAATGATATTTTCTTCTCAAGGAACTTATACCTTGAATGTATGAATGAGTTTTCAATTTATTCCTGACAGGGTGGGATTTTTTTCAGCTAAGTACAAACTAATGTTCTTTAGCTTGTCTGCAATAGGAGAACATTGGTTGTAAACATGCTCCACAGCATATTCTTTTAAATATAAGAGATATGTTCTGAATACTCTTTGTACCTGACATGGGAAATGTTCTCAGGTATATAGACATATCTAATCTCATTCTTTGGAAGGTTTTGGAAGAATTATCTAACTCTTTTTCAAATTAATGCAGGCCAAATGTTGTATTTAGGAAATGTGTAAAATCCTAACCTTTCCTACAGATAATTGAAAAAAGAGGAGAAATATCTTATAAAGAAGGGAGGAATCTTTTTATTGGAAGATTGGCTTTCAACCACATTCGGTTCTGTTGGGCATTTGAGAAATGATTCGGTTGGCTGCCCAAATAAGCACAGTGCTTGAGCCCTGCCACGTCTCCCAGGATCCCAGGGTGAATATCTTAAACTCCCCTTTGTGGGCTTTCAGGTTCGCTTCCTGGAGCAACAGAACAAGGTTCTCTCCACCAAGTGGGAGCTCCTGCAACAGCAAGGGCCTACTGGGCCAAGGAAGAACCTCGATGTCCTCTTCGAAAATTACATCCAGAACCTGAGGAGGAAGCTAGAGTCTCTCGTGGGACAGAGGGGACAGCTGGAGTCGGAACTGCAGAGCATGCGGCAATACGTTGAGGATTACAAGACCAAGTAAGTGCAGTGGCCTGGGATGGAAGAAGTAGCCACCAGGGCAGGAGCGCTAAGCCAACTCTGAGATTTCAGCACCACCTTCCCTCTGCTCTGGAGCACTGGAGAACAAGGACCGAGGTTTCTAGGGTGGGTGGTTTGACCGACTGACCGGTGAGCAGTCCAACAGACTCAGCTCATCTTTTCCCCTTCAACAGGTATGAAGAAGAAATTAACAGGCGCACCGCTGCTGAGAATGAGTTTGTGGTGCTCAAGAAGGTGAGTCACAGAGGCACCACGAGAGAGTGTGTGTGTGTGTGTGTGTGTGTGTGTGTGTGTGTGTGTGTGTGTGTGTGGGGGGGGGGGGGACCTTCCCTTCAGGATGTGGACTGCGCCTACATGACTAAAGTAGAGTTGGAAGCAAAGGTGGGAGCTCTGACCGATGAAATCAACTTCCTGAGGTGCATCTACGAGGAGGTAAGGAGCTCTGTCTCCCCCTTGGATGGCTGGAGTTCTAATGAGGCATGTTCTGAGTAGAGGCACTGAGGTTTGCCTAGGTGCCCACATGGACGTAGCCTGGAGAGTCACTTGGGCTCCCTGGAACTGCTGCTCTCCTCTCACCTCCTCAGAAGGTCAGGTTAATTCCCGTCTTGGTTGCAGGAGCTCTCTCAGATGCAGACAATCAGCCGGGACTTGTCCGTGGTGGTGTCTATGGATAACAGCCGGCACCTGGATCTGGACAGCATCATTGAGGAAGTCAGACGCCAGTACGAACAGATTGCTCAGAACAGCAGGGCTGAGGCTGAGGCTTGGTACCAGAGCCGGGTGAGTTCTGAAGCAGCTGAGGAAGCTCGGATGCTCGCTATTGCTCCCTGCCTTCCTGGCCGCGCAGCAAGGAAACTTGTTGAGTTCTCTGGAGCTTGTGTCACTCAAGGGCTGCTTTGTCTCTGTGCTGTCAGTACGAGGAGCTGCAGAGCACTGCTGGAAGGCATGGGGACAGCCTCCGCAACACCAAGATAGAGATCCAAGAGCTGACCAGGAACGTCCAGAGGCTGCGGACCGAAATTGAGAATGTGAAGAAGCAGGTAAGGGTTCATGAGCACCTCGTTGGCTACTGGCATGAGGTGGGTGGCCAGGATGGTGTTCCTGCTGCTTTTCCACCCTGGTTGTGCTTTGGGGACTGCTCCAGTGGAGGGGATGTGGAAAGGAACTGAGAAATTGTCTTTCTTCTTTTGCAGAACCAGCAGCTGCAGGCAGCTATTGCTGAGGCAGAGGAGCGTGGTGAGATGGCTCTCAAGGATGCTAGGAGGAAACTGGAAGAGCTGGAATCTGCCCTGCAGAAAGACAAGGAGGAGCTGGCTCGCTTGTTGAAGGAATACCAGGAGCTGCTCAACATCAAGATTGCATTGGATGTTGAGATTGCCATGTACAGGAAACTGCTGGAGGGAGAGGAGAACAGGTGAAATCTGCTTTCATTGTAGCCTGATAGAGGGACTGTTACTGCTTAGGATGGATTGAGGTTTCATCATCTGTCAGAACCCACGTAAATCTGCACTCTGAATTAATCTTTTTTTAGATTCAAAATAGAAACAAGACTCTGAATATGCCCCAATGATTTTGGCTAAGGTTAAAAAGAACAGAAAATAAAAGTAGTATTTGGGAAAATGCAGTGTAATTCTTAGCTGAAGTGCCTTCTATTGTATTAGATCAATAACTTGTATTTCTTTCCCTTCATAGGCTGTGTGGAGATAACCTTTCCAACGTAAATGTCTGTAAGTATCTGTGCATTCTCTTCCTTGCAGAAAGGCTTTCATGCTGGGTCTCATTAGGATTCCCAGGTTGCCATTTGGTGAACAGTAAGCCTGTGTTTCTCTTCCAGCTGTAGTAGGCAGAACCACCATTGCTGGAGGCCGAGCTGGAGGCTTTGGAGCCGGCAGCGGCATGGGAGGAGGAGTGTGTGCAGTTGGAGGAGGCAGCTGTGGAGTGGGAGGAGGAATACTCAGTGGTGGCTTCTCTTCTGGAGGTGGCGGCTTTGCTTCCAGCAGTGGATCCTCCTCCGTACGGAGATGTGTCACAACCACTACAGTCAAATCTTCAGGTGTAAAATACTGAGCCCTGATCTCAGGCCCTCAAAGGAAAGAGGCATCTCCCATCTTTGGCCAGCGACGCAGCCCCTCAAGTCCAGATCCAGCATCCAGCAAAGAAATGAACTGTTTCCCTTATAGCTCCCAGCTTCCTTAAATCATCCTGCCTCCTCCTCAAAAGGAGTTTTGTAGTAAAATACTATCCTGTTGGCAGAGCCTGGCTCCTGTCTGAGCTTTACCAGTCTCCAGGGATGAAATGTTTACAGCCCCATTAAGAAATATCTCTCTTGTGGATACCAGTCACTGAAGAGTTCATCCAAGGGCTCTGCCTCTCTTGCTGTATGTTCTGGCTGTTATGCCTTGGCTGCTGTGCTGGCTGAGTAGGAGTGTGTATAAAACTGCTCTTTCCTTTCACTTCTTAAGATCTCTTTTTCAACCACCGTGTTTTCCTTGCAACTCTTGCATGTCCTGCATGTTGTCTACATGCTTGTTTTAGCTGTGTCAGGGATTCATGTAAGCAGAAGAAACGTTATGATGTCTCACAGGCAGATTTAAGAGTGAGGAACACCTCTCTGGAGACAACCATCTTCCCCAGGTGGAGTAATTTGGCAGCTTTAGTATTTCAGAGGTTCCCTTCCCTCTTCTTTACACCTGCCATGTGTATGACTGTATTGAAAATTAGCAGGGCATAATGCTTGCTTCAAAATGTGTTGTTACATGAATCTTATTGCACTGCTGCTTTCTACCAATGCTCCATCTCCTCTGGATTCTTTCATCACCAATAAACTGCAGACAAGTCAAATGATATCTTTGTGTCATAGTATCATTTAAGGTTCCCTCGGGGAAGAGCCTGAGGGGAAAACATGTTTTGTGTTTTGGAATAAGGAATAGCAATACAATGCTACGGTGGCGAGGTCTCTCCTACAGCAGAAATTACTGAGAACAGATTTTCTGCCCCAGCTGAATCCACTGAAGTGTGTTAGGAAACCATGGACCACACAATTCAACTTGGTTTATTTGCTAGAAGCAGAATTATTTTGGAAGAAGTTTTTTTTTTTCCCCCAGTGGTTGTGAGATTGAAAAG